GTTATTTCAATGCGGCGTTCAGATCTGTTTGGAAAGATATATGGCACATGCTGAGAAGAACAGTAAAGGCAGATTTGTTGGTCTGTTCTAACTTATTCGAAAATTCTGGGATCGGATTTATTTTATAAATCTAGTATTCAAATCAGGGCATTACGAATGATCTTATTATCGGTCTATTCATTTGCATGTTTTGCAGACAAATAGCACTCGGCCGATAATATTTACCGGACATTCACTTGGAGGTTCGCTTGCATCTTTAGCCAGTGCTCATCTTGCATATTTTTATGCTAACAGGAAGCTTAACGTAGATATTCGACTTGTAACATTTGGTGAACCTAGGACAGGTAATCGAGACTATGCATTCGTTCATGATACATTGGTACCCGCCAGTTTCCGCATTGTACATCGAGGAGATCTGGTAAGTTATCAATTATAATGCTGTGTTATGACATTGAATAAAAAATGATACGTCCTAAAATGCTAAGCTCTATAAGTTATAATTATTAAGCTTTGTATTCCATTTTTCATTTTTATGTCATCACAAATCTGATCTAGGAAGAAAACAGCAAATAAAACCATGAAATAGGCAAATCGAGTCGATAAAATCATCAGAATCGATTTAAAAAGTTCGAAAAAGGAAAATTTTTAAGAAATTTAGGAACGATTTAAGGTACTGCATCTATTTAAGGTACCTCATCTTCCAAATTGTTTAATCAACCTACGAACGTTTGCATGTAGTTCACGATTTGGCTTTGGACCATATCATCACGGACTTGAAGTCTGGTATCCTGAAAATATGACCGGAACCCCTCCACATAGGATTTGTTTGGGTCAACCGCTGAATGAGGATAAAACTTGCAGGTCTGATTTGTTTTGCGTTTTGAAAAGAACAGAAATTCCATTTTCCGACTTCTCATGAGGAACCTTGTTGAAAATTCTGTTTTCGCAGCGATGGTTATTATCGGCACTACACTATCAATGATCACTTATTCTATTTTGGTGAACATGTCAGTAATTATGGTATATCAGGATGCAAGACAAGCGGAACTATTGCCAAAACAAATTTATAGTGAGGGAAGAACTCATCGAATCATGTCTTTGTTGTCGCAGTTTTATTGCTTATTGTTTTAAGGTTTCAATGAAGTTGCAGGGCATTCCCGAAAAAAAATGAAAACATTACATATAGCACTAGAAACAACTTCTTGCAGTAATATTTATAGTTGAATATTCTAATTATCGCAATTCACCCTTCTACATATTCATAAGCTAGTAAACCATTATATTGAAAATCTGAGAATATTCATAGTTAAATATTGCCCATTCAAACACATCCGCTTTCCTTTAACGTGATATAGTCGCACAGCGGACATAAGGCAATACAGAGAGTTTTTCAGTTTCGAGTTTGTTTGATACATTTATCAAACATTCCACCTTTCAAATTCAAAATGAAGTCAATAAAGCCATATTCAATTATAACAAAATCCAATAACTAAACAAAACAACAAAATTAAATAGCAGTGTGCCTGGTAGAGTTGTATAATGGTACCAATTCCCGCATCACTGGTGAGATTAATCCATCATGCGATTTGTTTGCATCTTGAATTAAATAGTATGTTGATACCAATGACAGAAGGAATGAAAATAGTAGCAAAGACGTCGACGCCAACGACAAATAGAAAGCAGAACCAATTTCTTGCTAGAAATTAAAATCATTTCAAAATTCACTCGACCTTATAGAATCTGAGTTCGAACATAAAAAACTCAATTATGATTTTATCGATAATTGAAAAAGCTAATGTAATGTACGGAATAGAGTATAGTTGAACGTGATAAATACACAATCGGCCCTAAAATTCGAAAATGACACGCTTGAGCCTCTTCGACCATTTTTAATCCTAAGCTAAAGCAGTAAACAGCAACTGACCTCGTAAGTCCCAACAAGTCCATGCACAAATCGACTGTCAACTCGATGTGCAGCAAAGAAGAATATCGCATTTGCAACAGTCGAAAAAAATACTGCAATAATAGTTGTTACGATCCAATAAAATGCTGAATAAATCAAACAAGATAGCCGGAATAATCTAAACATTCAGTCTTGACTGTTCTTTAACTATCTGAAATCTTCCGATCTTATTCAATGATTAGCAATTAAATAAGCTGAAAAATAGTAAAATAACGAACGTGAGATAAAGATGAGGATAGTAAAAAAAACAGCAACAGGATTACTACATGGAGCACAAATGCCACACAACAGCGCCAGTCCATTAAATGCAAAGACCACAATGAAGCATATTAACACAGCCTTTTGCCAACCTACAAACACTATGATTCTAGAGTTACTGACAATATTAAAGTTATTAACGTCTCATCTTAAATTAAAGAAGTGCAAAGTAATAAATGGAATCACCAAAAAACTGATGATACTCAGCTTCACCAGCAGCACTATTTTGATTTACATCCAGTAGATTCTCATCAATAATCTCTCGAGCATTATGATCAAACTTATATGTGCAGAATAAAGTAGTTTGCTGCATTTCCTTGTACTCTTCACTGTTTACTGGATGTGAATGATGACGCGGGCGAGTGCAATCTTGCCATAAACCGTGCTGCAAATCCTATGACCAGTGAGGGAAGAGATGAAAAAAGGGAAGAAAAAATAAGCGAAGATAAATCAAGCAGTTAAATATGCATTTATCTTTTACATGATGCTGTGCACGGAATTCGCGTATATCGACCACTTGCCATGAAGGCGAGAGAACAGCAATGATAGATGTACCCAATGCAATAAGAAGTAGGACCAAACAGCCAATCAGTACTGCCTTTTGTGCCCTATATCCAGTATTACTCATATTCCTAAAATTAATAAAAATAGAAACAGTAAATTCTTAACCCTATTTAACGATATAAACACTCATCAAACACAGATTTTTCCTAACTACTTTGAACTGCTCTTCATTTACTGTATGGTTATGGTATTTGAAAGCACTCATCAAAACTAATTACAGACAACATAATAAATAGCTTAGTGAGAAACAATGTCAACCAATCTGCGGAAACCCAACTAAGTCCCAAATGAATATATAGGTCTTTTGCTTCCCACCTAAAATGTGTATTAATTTCATCTAACAATATCTTCTATAATGAAATAAAGAACTGTACTCTACAACATGAAGAGAATGAAATAAACAGTTTGAAATTACTCATTAAAAGATATCATTACCTTCACACAAAGTTGTTTGAAGAAAATCTGAATTCGACCACTATTTGTTCTTGATCATCCACGGACTGTCATTTAGGAATAAAATTTATAGATAATATCTTTATTTCATGACCTGACACAAAACGGGTTTACTTAAATTATACGGCCTTCTTTCTTGAAATAGACATTAGCAGCAGACATTACCGAATTTTTTATACATGCTTTTACAAGATTTAATGGCAAAGGCTCTTCAACAGCGAATTCGGAAATTAAGTACTATTGATTTAATTTCCAAAATTGTAGCAGAATATGAGCGCTGATATTAGTAAGGACAGTGCTGGGATTGGCTGAAGTTCCGAGAGAAGAGTAATGTTATCGTCAAGGATACAAACAGGTTGCACACACTACACGCACATGAATGCGCATACACATACACAGACACATACACGCACATCATATATGCATACGTACATACATACATACACAAAGTTTGTCACAGAAAATTTTACAAAGCATTTACGAGCCATTTGGAATATTCGCACCTTCCACGAAAGGGAGGAGGTGCGAGAGCGCAAACAAAAACGATACAAATGACCATTTGGACAACATAGATAAAGTGCCGTAATCATTGAAAACTTTTGGAATATGAACGATTCAGATAAAAAAAAAAAAAGAAAATCCACAAGTCATAGAGAATGGGTAAGTATTAATTTAAAAATCCAAATTAATCCTAGCAAGTAAGTGACTTCATGAATGAAAGTGTAATGTAAAATCTTACCACATTATTGCTTAGAAGATCAAACCACAGTCGCAGACTTCCAATCAACTTTTATTACTGACGGTAACTGACAGGTAGCAGTTAACCTTAACAGTATTTGAAGATGTAGAATAAAGAAGTCATTGATCGATGTGTTCACATTTAATATGAAATAGTCCATCAGCCTGCATCGAACACAACACCGCTAAGAATAACTCTGAAAGTACGTCGATGAGTTGATTAAATAATGAATATGTTACTGATGACAGGAATCATTTAATCAGTCATTGAAAGTGCAAAAGTCAAGTCGATCGTCCTCTTTCTTCTTTTTCTCTTCCGAAATTTATAGATAAATTACAGAAAAGTTAACTCAAATTTGAGCATGTAACAACCTTTCCTTTAGAAAATTTTCAGTGACAATGACTAGACAGTTAACTGGATGTGATAGACTGTTAAGTATGTGCAGTACAGGTGTACAGTCAGGAGATAAGGTAGTGGAGAAAGTGTACAGTCAGGAGATAAGGTAGTGGAGAAGGTGTACAGTCAGGAGATAAGGTAGTGGAGAAGGTGTACAGTCAGGAGATAAGGTAGTGGAGAAGGTGTACAGTCAGGAGATAAGGTAGTGGAGAAGGTGTACAGTCAGGAGATAAGGTAGTGGAGAAGGTGTACAGTCAGGAGATAAGGTAGTGGAGAAAGTGCAAGAGGGATGAGAAAACAGGAAGCGCTTCAGGAAAGGTCACTCGCGAGTAGGCCGAGAAGTTGCGATAATCGACTGAGTGAGCGCATATTCTTCTCTTCCCTTGTGCAGTCATACAGCGCAGAGGGAGCAGAGAGATAGCGGAAAGAGCAGCAGTTATCCTTGTTCCTTACTCTTCCGGTCTTTCTGAGGTCGGTGGGGCCTTTCGGGACGGAATAGCTGGAGCAGAAGTGAGTGCTAACTAGTTGAAGTGAAAGGTGGGAGAGGGTTGCTATTAGCGGTGCAGGAAGTGACCATTGCTGTCGTAGGGTTCACCGTTCATGATTTCGACGAACGTTGCAGAAACAATGTCAGTGCAGTCTAGGGAACAGCGTCTCAGTCGATGGTACTTTGGTGGTACAGCGTCTGCTGGTGCAGCAATGTGCACGCATCCACTTGATTTACTTAAGGTTAGCCAAGCAGTATTGTACTCGTGAAGGCTTTTATGATCCATAAGGTCTTTTAGGTACATCTGCAAACTCAACAACATGGTCAGGTTGGTATTTTTGAAATGACGATGAAAATTATTCGAAGCGATGGCATTCGAGGTCTCTATAATGGCATTTCAGCCTCTCTGTTAAGACAGGTAATATACGAAACATTTTCATTTTGTTAATTATTTGTGGTGATTTTACTTGGATGTTAAATAACTAACGAAAGAGTAGAAATAACTATTAGAGAAATGTGCGGTTTTTTAAGAATTTGCATATAATGAATCAGTAAAGATTTTCAAAATATTTTAAAAGTAGTGCGTCTTTCCCAAAGGATTTTGTATTAGTCTTACTTCAGTAATAAAGATAAGGTACATCCAGTGATTATAACAGTAGGATACTTACTCTTAGCAGATTGCTGCTATATTTATGTTTTTCAGATGACCTATTCTTTAACACGTTTTGGCATGTATGAGCAGTTGAAGAAGCAGTTCCCGGGTGGTTTGTTTCTTATTTATTCCTATCGGTTAAAAATAGGTAAAAATAGATGAACCTGTTTGTGAGATACATTTATGCAGAATGGTTTGGAAACGGTTTCTTATGCTATTAGCCATTGCTATTGTGGATTTTGCTCTTAAACTAGAAAATATGTGATACGATTAGCTAGACTAAGTTATAATGGTTGGGTAATTTATACTTTATTATTTGTTATAAAATCATGCTAATATTCCAATTACTTGTTCAGAGTGTAACATGGGAAAAAAATTTGTGGGATGCAATAGACGCCTTCATCTTCTGTGTGTGATTTAAATGCATTGTAGATTCAACTACTATTCCTTTCTATCAGAAAGCTGCGATGGCGGGAATGAGCGGAGCATGTGGAGGTTTCATTGGCACACCTGGAGACATGATTAATGTGCGCATGCAAAATGATGTGAAGGTTCGTAGTACTCCTTTTTTTTTTAAATGCATTAGAGTGTCATAAGATTAGAATATCTTTTATCTCTAGCAAAACGCTAAGTGTGTAGAAATTTTCAAACAAATGATCGCTCCCATGTCTTGATGAATAACAGATATGATGCATATAACTTTATTCTGAAATGGAAGTATAGGGAAAACTTGGGTGTCAGTTTTATATTTGATGCTGATTTAATGCTGAATGTGACATATTAAATTTTTTGCAGTTATCAGACCATGATATAGCTAGTTAGTCGGCATTATCTAACTAATGAGTTAATAATGAATTAATTAACTCATTGGTCGGGTATTGTTCCAAAATTTATTTACAACTCTTTCTAGTTACCGCCAGCGGAACGGCGGAATTACAAGCATGCCTTTGATGGGTTGTTCCGAGTAATGCGTGAAGAAGGCATCACTAAACTTTTTAATGGGGCTGCAATGGCAACATCTAGAGCTGTTTTTATGACCATTGGTCAGCTATCGTTCTATGACCAAATCAAGCAAGTCGCCATCGCATCGGGTTATTTCAAGGATACTCCAACAACTCATTTCGGATCTTCATTTGCTGCGGTATCATATACTATTTCCTTATATAACTTTAAATCACTTTTTTTTTACGTAATTTCATTTGCACTTAGTATAGTTTGCAACAAACCAATGAAAAATTTTTAAGGCATCGATTGCGACAGTTCTAACTCAACCGCTAGATGTTATGAAAACACGTATGATGAATGCAAAACCGGGCCAGTTCACTGTAAATTTTTTTTTACTACTTTATACTTCATTTATATGGTGTATATAGAGTAAGCAAAGAAATCTGATTTGTCTGTCGATACTAGTATGGTGCGCAACATCGAACTAAGCTTGGTAATAGTAATATTTGTGTTTCATCCCTTTAGTGTACTTCTTTAAAAAGAAATATCTAAATTTAAAGTGAAGATTGAGTGAACATTTGCAGAGTATCCTGTCCTGCTTCTTATATACTGCGAAACTTGGACCAACTGGCTTTTTCAAGGTAAATTATTTTTTTTTTCTTACCTCATCTTTAGGTTCTCGAATCTGTAAAAACTCAATACGTAATTTGCAGGGTTTCATACCAGCATGGGTTCGATTGGCGCCACAAACGATCCTTACTTTTATTTTCTTGGAACAGCTTCGCTTGAATTTTGGCTATATTCGAGCTCCATCAGCGAAACAATGACCCAACATGCAAAAATTATTTTTATTTATTCTGCGGTGTCAGTTTTGCAAACTGAATTCAATCCTACTAGCAAAAATATGAGAATTTTATTGAGTATGAAGTGCATAGGTGCTTTTTCGAATATTTAACCAGTCACTAACTGATGTCACTTTTTAGTGAAGCTCATAGTTTTGATTCCATTAGTATTTGTAGATATCTTCAATTTTAAAAAGCAAAGATAAGAATTTTAAACAACGCCTCAGTTCCTGCAGTTGTTTGCTTTTTTAAATTTACCGCTATGCTTATTATTTCAAGTATTTGAGCTAACTGTAATTATTACTCTATTCGATATCGATATTTCCTTACTGGTATCCTTATATCACCACGCTTTAAACAAGGATTATGAGAAACTTACAGTCATTTAGTACATCGAATAACACAATTACTAGCATCAAGTTCTACGTCAATGATAAAACGAAGATGGTTGGGACGAAGTGAAGGAAATACGATCTCATTATATATAAATATATGAGAAAGAGATAACAGGAATGGAATAGTCTTGTGAAAGTGCGGATACATCACAAGAAAGAAAACCTATTACCTGAAAAGAAGCAAACTTTGGGACAGAAAAGTATTGAGAAACATTTTTTTTTTTTCTGTAAAATAAAGTAGCACAATACATGCGAAAATAATTGAATAATCTGAGAAGTCGAAATATTATGCAAATAATACGAGCACTCTGTATAAGACAAATTATAGTTGGTTATGACGAGTTTCGGAATGTTTCACAAACTTAGTCATTAATTAAATAGCATCATTTTATTTCAAATCATGCAAAAGTTTATATTTCTTTTATCAAGAAACTGCCAATCCATTATTTACAACAGTTTGCGTTTCTCACCCCAACATGAAATTTTATTGAACTAAGATTTTCATTTCATCACGCATTTTGAAATGAACATTTCCTGTGTGCTCCTCATCGGTGCAATTTCTGTTTATGAAAGTGCGTCAAAAGCGTTACGAATTTGGAGTTAAAAGCGGCCTATTTACACTATGTGAAAAAAAAAAAACCGTGATTAAATCTGAAAACCAAAGACTTGCCTATTCTTTTAGTACAGGAAAATAACATGCTTCCCAGGGCAGATTTTTTCTACAATTCTCGAGAGTATACCCAATCAGATTCCAAGAACCATTTCCCTTTTTGATATGATTTAACATGAAAAGCTATCAAAACATGAAATTACAACAACACACCAATTAAACGTATCGCATCGAGAACTGGTCACGAGTAAATTCACCAGATGAAGCAATTGATGATGCATAATCGGATGAACCTGTTGTTCCACCAGCGGCTCGTATCTCGGCGACTGATGGGGCTGTCGGTGTTGCCGCAGTGATTGTTGAATTCCGACGTTCTGGTGGTGGTGGAGGTTTACAACTACCTAAAATTAACTTTTTTCGACAAATCTTGCTTATCAGAAGGTGACAAAATCGGGAAAGAATATATAATTTGATCTTATCACAATCATTGGGAATTACCCGAACGAATACGAATTGTTTGATGCGTCACAGAAACAGCTGCCGTGTTACAGTAAGAATCAAGTTCCGAACCCAGTTTATCGATCTGTTCAATAGTTTCAGCAATCAGTGAAGCACTCGCCTTTGTTTGATCATTTGCTGGAAAAACAAAAGAAACACTATCCGCAAGCAACCAGGTCTAAGTCACTATTTAAAAAAGTTGCAGTGGTGAACTCCATTTATATTTTCATGCATTTTATAAATTATTTCGAAATGAAAATGTTTTGAATCCATCACTATAGGTAAGGCGTTTTGCAAAACAGACATCACTGGAGCAGTAAAATTTGTAAGATAATTCTAACTTCAATCCTGCTGCCGCAATAACAGCGATACTCATAGTTTTATGGATTGGTTTTTTATTAAAAACTGAACTTCTAATATGTGAAAACTAGCCATCTTTTCCTGTAAAACAGCCATTATTCACATGGCCATTACGAGTTATAAGAGATGTCCCGTTTGGATGTGTTGTTATATCTTCATATGCAAAACTTAATGGCCTTGCTGGTCGCCTTAAAACTGATTCTTCTGATACATTTGCCGATGACGATGATAACAGGGTTCCTTTATGATGAGGAGTCTGGAAAAGGTTATCAAATTGTCCAAATTCCATGTCTGCTTTGCAATAAAAGTATGAAAAACAGCAACATAAGTTTTATGAAAAAAAAAACAGTGAATAAAAAGAAACTAAATGCAGCTATACAATAACGGTTCTATATAATTTTAGCACTAATCAAAGTCGCATTTTGATATAACCCATAAATTTTAACTGATATAACTCTTCAATAATCCTGATATCAGTCATACAAATGATTAGTTAAAATCGTTTATGACTTCAAGAATTTACATTACCATAGTAACTTCAACAGACGACCCGTGAAAATCAGGAGCAGCAGAAACAGTGGAATTGGAGAAAGAAATGATTTTTTTGGGTAAAGGTGGTTTTTTTAATGCAAATTCCAATGGCTGTGATGGAGATGGAGGTGCGTAAGTTCGAGGATTAACGACTGTACGTCGTGGCTGTTCTACTACTGATATTGTATGAGCCCGTACCGATGAAGTCGCATTGGATGAAAAACCTGAAATTCAACAGAAAGAATAATTCATTCATTCATCCATCCAAAAAAATTCATTCAGACTTATAACTGGGATTTTACTACATGATCCTTGACATTTTTGAGATTTCAAGCGTAAATATGAGATTGAAACTCAAAGCTGTTAAAATAAATGAAAGTGGTCCACAGACATAATTCCACTATACAGTGATACAAATATTTAGATCTTCATAAAGTCAAAAAATTTGTCCACTGAAATCATATAATACGAATTGATCATTAAAGTCGTGGCTGAATCAAACAAACTGGTTTGATGGAAAGTATTCTTTAACTTCACATCGAAAAAGATCTTACCAACCACTGCAGTTGGCCATGTACATGTGCTGGGTGTTGGCGATGGTGTTCTTCTTGAGATATCATCGCCACTGTATATGCAAAAGGATCGACTAGCATTCTTAGATAAACAGCTACGCCACGAATTATCTGATCCTTGATGTATGTCATTTAAAATAGTATCAATGACTGTTGCAGCCTTGCCAGATCGGATCGTGACATGCAAATGATCTGTCACCTGTCGAAGATGACTGCTTTCATCTAAAAGCCCCAACTGACTGTTCTGAAATAGAAAAAGTCAAAATTTTTTATGACCATCAATAATACTGAATTTAATTTTGAGAGATTAGGATTAAAGAAATCTCAATATTTCAAACAATATCATTCTTCAAAAAACTAGGAATGATAAAATCCCCCTACACATATCAATTAACTCACCGGATCTGAGAAAAAGAGTTTGAGGGATAAAGTGATGAGTTCAAGTATGTTTCGATACAGTACTTACAAGAACAGGAAGTAGAGCTGTGACAAAAAATGACATTTGATTCCTCTGTTCAGTAAGCAAAGTTTGAGAGATGCGACGTTGTTCATCCACAGCGCTTAAATCTATACCGCCTTTACGTGAACGGATCTGTGATAAAAACAAAATACATATTATTCACTTTCAAAAAGAAAAAAAATTCCATTTGTTACGCATAATAAATAAACAATAATGATTAATCATAAATTCTAGCAACTCAAAAAATATCAACAGTAAAGGATTATTTCCCGAGCCAACTGTCTTTCAAAGAGGGTAAAACCATTGGCTTATTTTGAGAGAAAAGGACCATTGTGTGGCCCAGACAGAACTTAGCAAAAGTTATTACAGCTATAATGAATATTCTGTGTCCTTTCGCTGTATCATTCAACTCACTGGCCAGACAAATGATGACTGTGCTCATAATATGTCTCGCCTGCTAACTCCAGAAAACATAAATTTAAACTGCTTTGTCGGGAAAATATCCACAGAAATTTCAGCGCCTTCGAAAAAAAAAAAAGTCTTTAAGATTAGAACTGAATAATCAAAAACTAAGTCAGTCCTGTTCATTGATGAGTCAAAACATGCAACCGAATTAATTTTGAAGTTGTTAATTCAAAATTCGCATTCGATTTTGAAATTTTTGTTCAAGTGAAATATATATATATATGTATGAATGGATGATCAACAGATTACAGGATATCTAGAATGTACAGCAGTACCTTGCAATTCACCTTTCGACAAAATTTATTCGCATGTCGATCCATTTCCGTGGTTCGTTGTTTCCAATAAGTACCTTTGTTTTGCAAGCTCATGGCCAGTTCATCGGTTAATGAGTCCACAAAACCACGCAAACGATTTTCAATGGATCGCTGTCGCATGCAAACACGTGTAAGACATGCACCAATATCTCGAGTGGCACCTGAATCATGAATCCAATCTCTCAATCTTCATTACTTGAATCACCAAAATTGAACTACATAAGTTGAGGAACAAGTCCAGATGAATCAAAGTAATATTCTTGAATAAATAGAAGTTTGTGGAAACATAAAATAAATATCTGGAAGAAAAATTCTCAAAATAATATTATGAGTAAATAAGCATTCACAATAACTATTATTAAGAATAAGTGAATTAACATTCAAGATTTTTTGACGAATCGGAAACATGCAGCAAATTATTTTCCAAGTATCTTTTCCTTTACGAAAAATTTCATTTCCGAGAAAGTTTGAAAAAAAAATATATAAACGCTATTAGAAAAAATATTGCGTTGGTTTGGATTTTAAATATGGTACCTATTTGGTTATCAAATTATATAATGATGCATCAATTTGAGTTGATTTAACATTTATAGAGGACAAATGATGAAAAACTATTAAACATACCTTTTAAATTATTAGCGACATCACCAACAGCTTGCACAGCATCTATGAAAGCATTCATACAAGTCAAAGTCGACTTCATTTGCGACGCAAGTTTAAGAGCTTTCTGAGCGACATTTTCCCATGCTGGATATGTCAACTACAAAAAAGAAAAGAAAA